CACAAGCTGACCCTACACACATCCGCTTCTTTTTTAACCACATCTACAAAAATCACGTGATCTCGACCTTGAACCTGATTGTACAAGTTATTTTTCCTCTAGATCGTTCAACAAGCATGAGCTACCGGCACGAACACCACGATGTAAGGAAGACAAGGCGTGTCATCAAGGGCAAGAGTCGCAGCCCTAAGTGTGAACATAAGTTCTGTAAATAGTTTTTAATTGAAATATTCGGGAAACGGGGTTTAAAGTTTTATTATGGCTGCCCTACCTGTAAACTTCAAAGAATAGCAAGCATTACACTGATACCCCGCCTTACTCTCACTAGTTGACATGCTTCCGACCTTTAGTCAAATAGCACCATTTACAAATTTGCAAATACGACAGTCTACTACACAATATACATCGTCAAATTATAGGGCAATTTAATTAGAACAACGATATATTTCACAATCTTTTGACAACCCACCCCTACATGGTCTGGTGAGCTGTGGTTCACGCTAAATGTTTACATAGAGCGGGTTTAGTGACGGCTATTAGGGGCAGATAATTTAGTTTGAAACTATTTTAAACTTAGGGGAGGTAACTAAGAGGAGGCTGCTTTCACGGGGGGTGGGGGTGGGGTGTAGGGTAGGGGTTGGGGGAAAGGAGGGTGGTGGTAGGATCGTTCTTAACGACCTACTGATAGTGTTTTAAAGCAAATATTTTCAGTGGCAGCATTGGTACTGTCGAATTCACAAATTATGAATTACTGAAAAGTAGAAAATAAAACAACTAAATAGCGGCGTATGATATGCCGCTGGTCGGCTCGTAGTATATATTTTGTTAGAAGTATCGCAACCAATGTAAAAAATTATTTAGTATTTAGTAAGTTTATTTTTCTAAAAACTAAACAAAAATGCACGTCATGATTGTTAATCAATTCGTGGAATTAAGACAACGTGACGTCACACTGTCTCTACCTCCCCCTCGTCACACATCGTCACAAAGGTCTGAATCCCCCCCCCCTAGGCGTGTGACGTCATTTATGGAGGACCCATAAGCGATATCTGGTCCGGACTATGTTATTTTTAGTGAGCGTCGGCTTTATATAAACAATGTCTGGGTAGGAGGTGATGACATGTGGTATTTATACTTAAGTGTGTGCACGTGTTAGATATTTTGAAAACGAAATTGAAGCCTGTGATGCAAACATAGGCTTAAAACGTAAGTTTTTATAGTGAAAACCAACAATTAAGCATTAAATTTGGAAACCCTAAAAATCGGGAGCCCCGACTGCACCCCCCCCCCCGCTACTGCTCACAGACACACACTCATACTCACACTCATACAAACACACTTTCATACTTACACACACACACTCATACACACACGCACTTAAAAGTGTGCTTTCACTTAGACTAGTAAATGTTCATGATGAGATAAGTTTATTTTACAATTTGAGGTATAGTATAGAATAACCAGAATTACAATTTTCATCACTTTTATGTAATTTTATTGAGCGCCTGGATTCTTACATCATAAATTATTAACAGAGTGGTAAAGTCGAAGACAACTTTTTATCGGTATTTTTTGTGGAAAGGGGGGGGGGGAGGGACTGGGTTGGTATGTCTTATATTGGTGATTGATCTTTAAAAAGTGATATAATGTATATGTGGTTCGGGGTTGGGTAAATGATTACATATTTTCTTGAATAATTTGTCAATAAATTTCATTCTTTGCTGCAATGTTAGTTGACATTTGTTTAACTGTAATGAATCCTAGCATGAGAATAAAATGTTAATAAATATTGGTCTCTCTGCCGCTTGGTCTGGCGGTTCTTTTGGTCCGTCATATTTTATATAGAATGTTATGCAGACACGAGCCAAGCAGTGTTACTCACAAAGAAATCAACCGAGTAATTAAAACCCTATCACTCCGTAGCCTACATCGAGCATTGGCCAGGAAATCACAGCCAATCCGCGCATTGGCTTGAAATACGCTGTCACTTTTAAGCTTTTCGAACATTGGCCAAGACATCTTTGGCCGGCAAAATCGCACACTGGCCGGAATGTCAAAGCAGTGTCTGAAGAATTTTAAAATGGACAACGTAATTTCGTACATTGGCTGGCCAATGCATGATGAGTGTGCGTGTGTTTTGTGAGTGTGTCTGTGTGTTATACACACATGCACGTAACACACACCATATTCATCTTCTGTGTTACACGCATACGCACGCTCGCACACACACACACAAACCTATATAAGCATAAGCAACCCTATTTCCTGACCTCTTATATGAGCAACGCCCTCCCTTTGTCATGTTTACATACAAACCAATGAGGTAAAAAATCATCATCTGTTGTTTTTTTCAGGAAAGTAAAGGTATAGGCCTATTTAAATTGCTACTTTGAAAAATGAAACTCTTATCCATTAAAAATGAAAATGTTTAATACAGATATAACAACACAGAGAAGAAATGATTTTAGAGGTTTTCTAATTATTTGTTACTTTGTTAACCTTGATAGATCAAGACATCTTGACGGCTTGACGCCCACACTACTATCCCCTGCAGTAATGTAACTGATGCGCCCGAGACGGCACTGGTACCTTGGCGATCACCGAGGTGTGTTGTACCGCACAATTGCTGAGGGTGATCAACAGACACTCGGGCATTGTTTCTTCCAGGGGGGGGGGGTTGGCACTTGAAGTTTTCCGAAGAGATGCCTGGAAGAAACTCTGCTGCAATTGAGGTTTTCATACAGCACACCTTGAGGCGTCTCGGTCGCGTTACAACAATAATGATCCAGTGCCGAGTGCCAACATTGTTTAAATTTACATAACCTAGTTCAAAAAGATGTACGATTAATATAACACTCATAAAATGTTGAATTAGTTTTGCTTATAGGTCTACTAGTTTGTACATTTATCATTTTCCTCCCTAAAGGCCTTTTATTTCGCGCGTGGCGAGGCGCGACTTCGATTCTATAATGCTATTAATTATATTTTCGAATATTAAAAGTAGGCTATACCACAAATCTAGCTGCTTTTTTAAAATATAATTTAGCATATTTCTTCACGACAAATGTTTTTAAAATATTTGAACTGTTAAAATACGTACCATTTCATTTTGGCCATGCTACACAAGAAAATACGTCAGGTAAGCCTGATATCCACAGCATATTTTATTTTTAGTGTATTGCGCTACACTTCACTGGGTTTTTCTCTTTCTGGGAATTTGTTATATTTTAAGTGGTAACCAATCGGATATTTCCTATCTTTACAAATAACAGAATAATAATTTTTTTTAAATACTGAAAAAAATAATGTATGATTCATTGTCACGTTTATAAAATTACGGCTGTACAGTAGGCTTAATAATAGGTGTTTACTAGGCCTATCTCATAGTTGTATTGTAGTAGTAAAACACCAAAATTGAAACTGAAACTAATCGAGCACATCTTGTTTCAATTTTGGTTTTTAGGTCTTAAAATAATTATGAAAAAAGTATACACAGGGTAGGCCTATACTGTAGTATAGTTCTACGCTTCTTTTACTTTTCTTCTTTGGGGTCGTCCATAAATGACGTCACACTCGTAGGAGGGAGTGGGTCTGTAATTTGTGATGAGGAGCAGAGTTTCTTCCAGGCATCTCTTCGGGGGGGCGAAGCCACCCCGAAAAATTTTTACCGCCCCCCCGAACGGAATGAAATTTATATAATTTATATAGAAAATATATACTTTTAACAGTGTCCGCCCCCCCCCCCCCGAAGAAAGTTTACCGCCCCCCCGAAAATTTCAAGTGCCCCCCCGGAGAAAAAAGTCTGGAAGAAACACTGATGAGGAGGGGGGGGGGAAATCAAGATGGCGTGACGACCTGTGACGTCACACAGTTCAATTATAAAAAAGCAATGTTATAAAACGAATTTTAGCCGTTATTTCTCGTTTTAGCAAAATGTTTAAATACATTGTAATATAAATTGATTAAAATACTCTATAGGCCTATTGACAGAGTTGGAAAAATATCGATGTTGTTTTTAGGAAAATTCAACTGCAAATTTGAGGGGGGCGGGGTTGTAGGCTGAGGTGTGACGTCATTTTAGTCAACAACATGAGAGTTGAAAATAAAATATAGATCTGACAACTGCAACTAGCAGGGAATGTAATGATCAAAGCACGTAGGCCTTCGTTCCAGTCTTATACGACGAATAGACCTGCGTAACCAAATATTGGCCAGGCACACTACTTATCAAATAAGCCTACATAAAAATTCATCTCTGCATACTCGAACACGTCTTGCAAGTAACAGCAGCGCAACGACACGTTTTCTTTCCACCGCAACCAACTCCCTGTAACATAATATGAAACGCATCAGTGTTTGGGTTATCAGGGTCTTGCCTTAGAATTCCTACTACTATTCCATACAAATTGACTACATTACCAGTACGTCTTACTCGCTATTAAGTTTTCAAATCATGCTGAGCCTGAAAATAAATTAACTTTTTTTCTTTTTCTCGGTTACTGTTCATTATGAACCTACTGACAAAATATGTGGAGGAAAATCTAAACTACATCGTCAACTAAATCTACTTTCTATTTAATACATGGGACTATAGACTTTGTAGAATACACAAGAGACCTGATAAAACATGCATTGAATAAGAAATAGGAACTTGACAATAACAGTTAATAACGCTTCCATTTATTTCTTTAAACGGTTAGGAATTAGATGTAATATAGATAATTAGCTTAATTAAATTTGTTAAAACTTAATCTAGCTAGGTGAAATATAAAATTTATAAAACAAGTTGTATTGGTCTAAATCAGTTTATTTTCTCACAGCACTTTTGAAACAGTAATGAAACATGTGATTCATCAAATAATTCCACAATACATTTAGTAAAAGACAAAAAAAAACATACATTCACAGTTTCTTTAATAACAACTACCAAATTCAATGTAATCAATATTATTTAAGTTTCAGGAGAGAAATTTTTTATGATCCAAATAAGTTTTTTTTCTTTTTACTGTAAATAAAATTTCCAGAAAGGATAATAAATAACAATAAAATCAAACATCAGAGTTCAAATAGAAGATCTCTATTCCTGATGGAAAATGAAAGAAATTTTTAACCTAATGTCTATCTACAGAAAATAAATAACAAAACACTGATTAACATAAGCCCAAGAAATATATGTTATTGTAGAGTATGTTATTGCATTTAAGTTTCAACAAAACACTGATAAACATAAGCCCAAGATACATATGTTATTGTAGAGTATGTTATTGCATTTAAGTTTCAATACAAACCAGTATAGCCACCATTAAACAACAAGGAGTATAATACTTTCTGATCAAAAATATATTGCAAATTTTCTGTTTCAAACATAAATAAATGAAACACACAATTTAAAGCAAGTAAAATTAATGTTTATGGTTTTACAAAATGATTGGGAATACTAAGAAATTAATTGTAGTGGTAATTACAATTTAATTTACATTTATCATCCCTAAAATTTAACATTACTGCTTCATTCAGTGCCAGGTCATTGTAAATGTTTGAGCACATAGTTTAACACTTCAAATGGTGTTGTTGCACAGTAACTAACAACAATAATACTGCCTTTGTCATCTTTTTTTTTTAAAAAGCATTATATACATTGTTTTAATATTTGTAAGATACTAAAAGTAAAACAAGCTCACATACTCTTTTTTTAAAATTAAAAATAACAAGTACATTTAAAAATACATACAATTAACAGGCAGTATTATTGTTATTTCAGCAAAAATCAATAACAAGTATTAATCATTAAAAACTTAATTGTTTTATTTAAAGTAACATACCAAACACCATAGCCATTTTAATGTAATTATCAAATTAAAAAATTTAAAAGTTGAAAGTATTTAGAACCATCTAGGAAAATGTGATCATGTACTCAGGATAAGCTTGAGCATCATGAAAAATGATGTACATCACACCATTACCATCAGTGCCTGAATCGTAAGTGTAGATTTTTCCAGGTTTGTTTGGGGGATGTCGATCCCCCCGCTTGGTCACAGCTGATTCTCCTACAAGAACCCTGGCCTGGTACATTTTCTTAATACCATTACTGTCCGCGCCTGCATAATTCACTGAGTAGGTTGGGTCTGTAGCAAAATATACACCTTCACCGTAGACAGTTGCTGAAATAGAGTGAAAAATTTAGCTACATTTTTATAGTTTAGAGTTTAGTATAGTACTGGTAAATTATTAATCACAACAGCTGATTTAAAAAAAAAAAAAATATATATATATATATATATATATAGGCCTATATTATTACTACATTTGGTCATCATGAATAGAATTTTAGAAATATTTCATAAAAATATAAACAAAAAAGGGGGAGTGCAGAAGTTCCCAACATGCATGTAATACATAATTACCATTAGCTCCACTGTAGTTCCGACTGAAACCAGTTAGGTTTATTTGATCAACATTATTGTAATTGGTTCCATGATAAAGTCTTTTTTCATTTTCGTGTCCTTCTGGATTTCTGCCAGCAATTTCTCGTCTTTTTGCAGCATATTGTTGGTACAGTGTTTTATTTTGGACACGGTCAATCTGCGAAAATTATAGTTAGCCACAATATGGTTTGTGTTTGTTCATATAAAGTTTTGTTGATGTTTTGATTAATGTATATCATTTCCACTAAATCATTCATAAACTCTAATTGTATAATGTTTAAAAAAAAATAAAACAACTAACCTGAATAATTTTTTTACTTGTCTTTTTGAAACCATCCTCTACTTTTTTATATTCAGGACTTCCAGGTTTTAGAGGCACCAGTTTTAGATTTTCTGAGTCTTCCATTTCAGACCATCGTTTTGGAAGAGGTTCCTCTATCATAAAAAAAGTTCAAAATATTTGACCAAACATATTTTAAAATTATTGTTATGGATAATATAAATGATTTCTTCTTCTTAAGTAAGCCCTATGTGTCAACTTGTTATGCTCCATTTAGGCCCTTTGTCTACCCATCTCTGGAGGGTACCTGACTCACATTACAAGACATTACGAGAGTAAAGGAGACTGGGCATAGTGCTGACCATCTTATCCCTTAATATGCAAAGGTCAAAGAAACAAGTGAATTATATTTCCCCTGCCCCATGAACCTTCAGTTTTGAAAAGATACTTTAATTTTTACATGACATGTAGGCAAAATAAATAAAACATTTGATACAAAATTGATTGGCTAACATATTTATTTGTAGAATTTCAAAACTATTATTTAAAATTAATACCTTAGATTAATATATTTATTAATCTAGTGCATATACAACACATGTCTTAGTTTTGATTTTTGTGTGTGCATGATTTTCAAATTCTAAAGCATATTAGTCTATGGGCAGTGTGATAATTTTTTTTTTAACTTTGTATTATGCATATTGTTATATATTCAGCAATTGTTTTCTTTGGCCTCCTTCAGAATGTATGTATATAATTTAGAATGATAAAACATGTATAATATCAATAGGGTAGACTGTTATGAATTGAAATATAAATGATACCTTTTGTTTGATCTTGGCGTCTGATTTTAAGTTGCTTGTTCTGAGGGTTACCATGAGCATCAACAAGACATTCAGTCATATTTTGAAAATCAATTCTGTACGACCGACCTTTGGAGTCTTTAACATCAAGTGTGGGCTTCTTTTTTTTATATCCACTTTCTATTTCAGCATTTAAACTGTAAATATAATACTAATTTCTTAAACATCAGGTAAAATGTACATTATACATGCAATTGATTTTTTTAAAGTAATTTATTAGTTATATAAGAAATATAATTCTGTATACAAACATGGGCTCAAAATTTCTCCATTTATGACTGTCTTTGAACTGCCACTGAATGGCTACAGCCACAGCTTGATGAATGGTTGTATAGTGATGTTTGACAGCAGCCATTAATGCATCGTTGATCTTATCTTTTACTATTGACACATTTTCTTGTAACCCTTGTAAAAGTACTGAACATTCGCTGGTATCAATGTTTACTTTTACATAATGCTTTAGCCCAAAAGCTTCTAATTCTTTCACCTACAAATTGAAAAGTGGTTGTGAATATTGTATAATAATATTAGTGGTATTAATAATATTACTAAGCAACAGACTAAAAAAAAAGACATGGAGTTTCCCAAGAGAACAAATTAACAAATTTAAAGCTAATATAGGAATGTTTGTTAAAGAAGTGTGAATTTCATTTAAAGCTTCAACAGGACATGACCCCTTTCCTCCTTTCAAATTAATAAAATCTTTTTGTTTTCAAAAGTAGCCAATAGCTGTTTATTTTGTTTTAGATTAGCATTAAGAAACATGTTACTCCTGTCTATTAGCTACCCCACTCAAAACAATGGATTGTGGGAGTTATTTTAAAATTTAATACCTGTGAGCTGTCCAATTTCTTTAGATCTTCCTTTTTAACTGTGTCACTGATAAATTTCCTACTGCATTCACTGTTCAGTTTTTTAATAATTTCCTTAACATCTTTTGAACTTTCATAAAATATTGTTGATTCAGCATATTCTGACACTCCAGCTGAGGAACTAGCTTGATTTCTTGGTGCATAAGCTCCTACATAGTTAATGGAATACAAAAATATTGTTAATTTTGTATAAATCTGAAAAATAAAAATAAATCTGAAAATTATAGAAAATTCCCACAATCATTCCGCACTACCAAGAATAAAAAGTAAAGTGTACAATAAACTATGGTACAAATTACCTTTGTGAGTTGCCTGGTTTTGAGGTAAAAATGTATCCAGCAGTTCCTTATTAAAAATAACCAACCGCAAGTCTGTTAATGTACGTTTGCCATGAGTACCAAACTGCTCAATTGCACGGAAAAGTAGTTTTTTTATTTGGTGAACATCTGCTCTTCTCCCCGCTTAAAAAAACAATATTATAAAAATTGATAATTCTTGATAAACTTTATTTAGAAAGTTTTCCCTAGAGACAAATGTAAAGACTTTACATTCACTCTAATGCCAATAATTGTTGTCTACTCTTGTAATGAAGCATCTCATGTACTTAGTATAAAACTTGAATGGGCATTCTTCTAACAATTGCAGGACTTTGCTTGTCCAGAACAGAGTGTGAAGTGACTAATCTGCATACTCTAATGTCTGGCTGCTACCATTTTATATCTTAGACAAAACAGTAAAGACTTGCAATTTATTAAGTCAGAATATACCATTTTTAATGATTTTTTAAACTAAAATGAGTTTAATTAATTAATTTTAAAAAATTGAAAGCCAATTTTTTATTTTTATTCTAATATACACGAAAATGCCAAATTCTCACTGTAACAAGTGATTTCACAAGGATTTTTAAATGAAGCGACCACAAAAATATTGGAAAGATCAACAGCAGTGCTGCCCTTGGTACAAAATACCATAACTATGCCACAAAATGCGGGTCTTCTTATGGCAAACCCCTCACTTTCATCAACTCAGTTTATGTGCAGTACCCAACTTCTCTTCTCCATCACTCAATCTGCTTTGTGAAATCTATTTTTAAAGTTAACCACCTGAAATTTTCTCTGGTTGTGTTTACATAATAAGTTGTTTTAGCAGCTTATATTATGAGGTAGATTTTTACAAAGATGTGCAAGAAATTGGTGATCAAAGGATTAAAACAAAGCAACTTACAGCAGCCAAGGGCAGGAAAAGCTAAAGATTTAACTCCCTGTCTCTCAGCTTCTTCCAACACCAGCTTCAGGCCACTGTCCCAGTGTTGTCCAAACTTTTTCATGCTCAGATGGAAAATTTTATCACATGGTAAACTCCCTGATGATGTCACAGCTAAACCACTTTCTCGGATATCACTGACTACAGGGGAAAAATAATAGAATTTAAAAAAACACATTTCATTGTTGGATTTGTGATATTTAACACTAGAACCAAAGCAAGTGGACTTTATAGACCTACCTTTGCTTTCACATTCCTTTTGGAATTCATCCCCACACTTTTGAAGAATTGATTTACACACAGCTCCTGTCAGAGTTTCAAAAAAAAAATTATGTAAAAATTAAAAAAAAATGTTTCACACGCAAAGTTAAAAAAATTCTTGTTAAAATAGTTTAGATAGCATTGACTTTGTTTTTACAAATGAGTTTAAGGTTCTGTTACCTGAAGCTTGTAGATCCATAGCATTATTGATACCATTAACAATAGCATCACATTTTTCTTCTGTGATGTCACCACTTTTAATTTTTAATGTCACTGAACCAAAAGTTTGATTGTAGCCTGATCCTAACATTAAAAAAATAGTTTAAAACAAGGATATTGATTATTAGATAACAAGTAACAGTAATATTATATTATCATGTAAGTTATTTAAGTGATTAAGTCAGTGTCATTTCAATATTTCAACAAAAAAATGCATTTAATTTAAGTAAACATTTTTTTTTCATGGAGGAATTTCGTTATTTTATAGGCCTATATCAAATTAGCATATGAACACATAACATTTCTGTCTTGCTTGTTTTTTTTTTACATTAATCTATAAAGTCCTGTATTAAAGTTAATCTAAATAGGCTAAGACAAACAAAAACTAAAAAATGCCATGTTCAACCCTTTTTTGTCAAAAGTTATAATCAACTATAGGCTCAATAATTTATTCACAAAATGAATTAAGTATGATATGTTAAAATATATAATAACAACCAACTTGGTCTTATGTGCTTAAAAAACAATGAAAATACCCTCCTAACAAAATGATTTAAAAATTAAACTTTCTAAACTAGAAGCACTCCTGAAACAACTGCTAGCAATTCTTAATGGCACTTAAGTCTCAATGCAAAAGTGAAATGCTTTACATTTAGACCATTTGTAAAGTGAATTCAGCTGAAAAAAATGAGCACATTAGGGAAATAAAAGGATTGTCATTAGGTGAATATGTTTATGAACATGTATATATCTATAATATTGATAACAGAATTTAGATATACACTTTTTAACTGTCTATAATTTTGCTAACACATGTTAGTGAACACATACTTAAAACCCAAGTTTGTCATTTATATATTACACAAGTATATCTTCACTGAGACATATTTTAAGGTTAGTTGTAAAAGAATATTTAGAATTTACTAATGTTCAATTTTCAACTAAAAAACCATCTTCAATAAAAAATCTGCTAGTTTGGTAGGCTTATAATAATAAGCTTTTAAATATGTTGAGATTTTCAAAAATAAAAAAAAATGCATTCGCTTGAGGGAAAGCACTAGTTGCTAAATTTTTAAAGAGATTTAATGAGTTCTTATTGCATTTACTAAAGAAACCAAGTTTTTTGTTATATTTTTTTATATTTTCAGTGCATTTTAAAACTTTTTTTTACACCAAATACAATTACAAATATTACAAAATTTGGCTTCCATTCTATTAAAGACAATTATCTGCACTTTCTTAACATCCATACTTAACTTTCGGGTGTGAAAACAGTTCACAATTCACCTGGCTCATTGAGTGATTGCTTACTCATGTATCTCCCCTCTTTTTATTGCTTTGAGTGGTCTTAAATTAATTTTAATGGCTAACTTAGTGTCTGATTAGATTAAAAAATTAGACAAACTTGCGAAATCTTTATAGACAAATATTTTGGAAGGTTTGAAAAAAAAACTGGTTAAAATTAAGTTACAAGATTTGCCATAAACAAAAATGAATGATATATAGAAGGCCAGACATTGTAAACTAAATAAAAGCAACAGAAATGGTAAAACTGGCTTACCCAAAACATTTTTTAATGAATCATATGCACTTTTGGCACACCCTTTAACACTACTCCATATACCTAATTTTTTTTTTTTTAAATCAATCAAAAAGAAATATATTTAGATCAAATGTCTTTTATTTTTAGAATTACAATGAGACTGAATAATTCATTTAATGTAAAAGGTTCATAGTAACTATAGACTGAAATAAAAAAAATATATAGAGGAATAATAAAAATTACAAAAAGCACTACAAAATATTAACTAAATAATCCTCTAAGAATACAAATGAAAGGAAGAAAAAAATGTGTATCTGTTAAATATTCTATGAATCTTATTCATATCAACCAAAATTTAATTGAAAATAAAAATTATAGAGCAACAAAAAGAAACAAAGTGGTTTCCGTTACATATTTATCTACAGTAAAAATGTAGGTCTAATAACAACAAAAGGTTACTATTTACCTGATTCAGCTTCATCATTTTTGGAAGAGGAAAATACATCCTTGAAAACCTATTGCAATATTAAAAAAGTTTTTAGACTTTTATTTAGTTCTAACAAATGTAAAAGGATTGAAGAATATCCACTAAACTTTCAAAGATGACTGGGGAATTTAGTTTTATAAAAAAGTTTTATACTAATAAAAACAATTCTACAAAAGTTATCAACCAAAAAAGTAAATATATTTGAAATTTCAAATTTGTATAACATACTAGACTTTATTTAATTCTGTATTGAAAGAAAACTTCTTACCTGTTCAGATTCTGAGTCTTTGAAATAAATAATGATGTCAATTTTTCTCAAGGATTTTATTTTATCTTTAGCAAATAGCCCAATCGCTTTTGCTATTCCTTTTGCACTTTCTCCTGTAAAGATAATTTTGAGGAAAAGTAAATCAAATCCTTTTTTTGTAGAAATTTAATTGCAGAATTTTCCTAACATCAACTTAATATGAATTTTATACATTTTTTTTGAGCTGAGAGAAAAGATACACAATTATTATTAATGACAGTGAAATAGTATTTTTTTTTACTATTTGCCTTTTTAAATTGTGAAAAACAAATAAATAAAATATCTATAGTTATCGAAATATATTTATAGTCTGTTTTGATAAAGAAACTAGAAATAAACAGAATGATACTAACTTGCAGGGTATTTTAACCCCCCTGTCCCAAGGGTAGGGAATGCTATAGAAGTCATATTTTTTTTCTCAGCTGTCTCCAGAATTGTTTTCACTACCTCAGTCAACTACAGGAAATTATAAGAAAAATTCGGTACATTTAGCAGGCTATATTAATAATTTATATGAAGGTCATCATCGAAAGCATTGAGCACTAACCTGTTTATTGTTGCCTTTGTAGCTTTGAAGGTATGCGTACATAATGTGTTTGCACTTAAGATTCCCTCCACTAGATTCAGCAAATTCTCCAGGCTTTATTCCTGAGGGATAGCTGTAACCAATCAAAACATTGCAAATTTGAGCTAAGAATAAAATAAATTGTTAAATATTTGGCTACTTTATTACTGTATCCTCATTATTTATGAGTAATAGAAGTTGAGAAATAGAAAAAAAAAGAATGAACAGGAAATGATTTACTTGTTACGGAGTTCTTGTTGGATGTCGCTCCCACCATAGCGAAGGACATCTTTTGATATCATTCCATTATTTAAGTCCAGATTACCTCCAATGGTTGTTACAATAGCATCAGTCTAAGAAGGTTAACAAATAAATTACAATGAGATGTTTTAATGTTAATGTAAAAATATTATATTGTATATATATATATATATATATATATATATATATATATATATATATATATATATATATATATATATATATATATATATATATATATACATATATATATATATATATATATATATATACCGTAACATATATATATATATATATTTAATTTTATAATTATAAAGCATTATTTTGACAATACATAAGACAAGTTTCTGATTTCTTTGGTATCAACTAGATATGGTTCTTAACCTTTATGGTGGTATTAAACCCCACCAGCTTCATATGCACATTCACAGAACCCTTCTTAAAAACAAATATGATTGTTTTTTAAATTCAAAACATAGGTATATATCTTACTGGTGCACTAAATGAACATAATAAGTGTGACTTCTGCTGCTGCCTTTCAGACACCAGTTCAGAAATGTTCTACTTCACCTTAAATTCAGTGAACATTGTGTTCTTGTATTTTCTATGTCAAGTAGCTTAAGGAAATGTTTTCTTAGTTTTGCCAGTTCTAGGCTAAAATTTCTCAAATCGGCATTGTAAATCATGCAGTAAGGATGCTGAGTCCCTTCAAGTTTTGTTACACATGTGAATCCATACTGTACTAATTCGTCTGACCACTTTCTTTTTTTGCTCGACATAAAAGGATTAAAATATCCAGGTTTAGAACCACTGAATTAGAAATGCTTATTAATATTTAATTGCTTCTATGTTTATAACAATTTCCACAACTTCTATTTAAACAGAACCATGAGAAAACCTATATTGATAACTACATCGTACCCTAGATTTTGTGATGACACCTTTATGAATCTGGATCTCTATATTCCCAAACCTTGAGCTTTGTTTCTCATGACTCTGTTGGTCTGTGTGTTGATTTCTGTCTGGGTGATGGGACTTAGAGTTTTTGTCTTTGGAATGCTGTGAGCTAATGTCTTTGGCTGAAAGTAAATTTCAGTTATACAAATGAGGCAAGGAATTGAGGAAGAAGAATAACAGCATCATTTTAAATTAATTATAATTAAATATAATTTTAAATAAATTAATCAATTTTAAATAAATAAAGTAAATTAACAGTTTCTACTTTCTTGTATATATGAAGTATAGAGAAAGTCTTGTAATCGTGCAAAAAAAAAAAATCAAGATTTTTACAAATCTCGACGTTTTACACCTCACTGATATGGAAAAACATAATTTTGCAATCTTGTCTGTGTGTGTGTGTGTGTCTGTCTGTGTGTAAACATGATAACTTGAGTACCGTTACAGCTAGGTTGATGAAATTTCATATATAAGTATTTTATCAAAATCGTAGATCCGTATCAACTTTTGAGTGATTTCCGATAACCGGAAGTGGTACTTTTTCTCCTTTGAATTTTTCAAAAGCCTAAAACTTGAGTACTATTTCAGTTCGATAAATGAAATTTCACATGTAAGTAAAAGATCTATATCTCTACCTTCGGTCAAATTTTGAGTAATTTCTGTTGACCGGAAGTACTAATTTACGCTATTTCTATGAGATTCTATTCTATTTTTAAAAGTTTAAGTAATTAAAAATCATGTCTATACTCCAAGTTATTCAAGAATATTCAAGAAAGTTTAGGGGAGATCACTCCCGGTTTATTTAACAGAATAATGGTCAGCCCTACGTTTAATAGATGCAATAAATGTATAATTGGAACAATCAAATAATTTTATAAAGGTAACATGGTAAAATTAAGCAAGCAAAAAAAAATTAATATAAAGTTATTATTAAACAGCATAGCTTACATTTACTGGCATCTTCATTAATGTCATTAACATTTATGGGATCTTCACCCAATTCTGGGCTGCATCTGTCTATCAGATCCTCAATAATTTCACCACTGGCGTCACAGATTATTATTTGCTGAAGGTGTGGACTATGCTGCACATGTTCTTTAATGGTTCGCAAAATGGAATTACAGATTTTCAGTTTTGGAAAGGATACATTTTCTGAAAAAAGAAAAGAAAAAAAAAGTTTTAATACATGATACATTTTCTGAAATTTTTTTTTTTAATGTTTTAATAACCAGCTTTAAAATAATTATGCACTACAAAGTAGAAAATAAATTATTTTCTTATAACATATAGTAATGCACCACTGTTTAAATAACTATAAAGAACAGTGTGGGTAGCTTCTTAGTATTCAATACATAATGTAGTGACACACACTTTTCTTGATTATTATTTAAATTACGATGCATTTTTATATATTAAAAGAATATAATTTATTTTCTACTTTGTTGTACATAATTATATGATTTAAAAGCTAGTTATCAAAACTTTAATACAAATTTACACAACAAATGAGCACAATGTGCGTATAATAGAGGGGTAAATAGTGCTTTATATAGGAAACTATAATTAATTCTTAAAAATTAATTTAAGCAACCAGTTAAAGTCAAATTCGATGTCACATTGCATTGTCATCAGATCTTGATCCATGTGCCAAGTTTGAAAGACATTGGTCTGTTAGAAGTGATCAAAATATTGCTCTCCCTTTTCAACCCATGATAAAAAAGACAAACACAAGCATGACAGACAGAGAAAGCAAGTTAAACAAAAGCTTGTAAAAATGTAAGAAATAGAAAACAATCTTACAGATTTTTCAAAAACGATAATCATATGTGTATTCTGACATGAAAATACCTTCTGTGCAGGTTTTTTAAATAAATACAAAAGCCACTAATTAAAGTTACCGTCTGTAATAGTGTATTCTAAATCAGTTTTACAGAGGTTAGTTTTTCATAGAAATCAGCCATGCCTGATTTACATTTAATCTATTGTAGGATATAAATGTTAAATGAGAAGGATTGAGCATATAAAAACTGAGATTCAACAAGTAATTTTAAAGAGCAGATCAATCCAAATATAAATGGCATTTTCAGAAATGAGTAGCACAACAAAAAATATCGTTTTAAAAAGTATGAAGGTATTTTATAATAGAAAAATAAACCGGGAGTGATCTCCCCTAAACTTTCTCAAATATTTTTATATAAAATTGCAGGGGATGGGAACTCGGGCTAAAGACATGATTTTTAATCCATTTTAATTTTAAATACTTAAAGTTTTAAAAATAGAATAAAATTTCGTAGACAAAAGAATTGCACACCAAGTGAACGCTAAATAAAAAAGTGCATAATAGTGCGAAATATTATTAGTACTTTAAAAATTTACATTAGTTTTTTGAGAAATCGGAAGTAGCGTAAATTACTACTTCCGTTCAACGGAAATTACTCAAAATTTGACAGAAGGTAGAGAATTAGATCTTTTACTTACATGTGAAATTTCGTTTATCTATCTGAAATAGTACTCAAGTTATAGGCTTTTGAAAATTTCAAAGTAGGAAAAGTACCACTTCCGGTTATCGGAAATCGCTCAAAAGTTGAAACGGATCTACGATTTTGATAAAATACTTATATATGAAATTTCATCAACCTAGCTGTAACGGTACTCAAGTTATCGTGTTTACACACACACAGACAGACAGACAGACAGACAGACACACAGACATACGGACAAGATTGCAAAATTATGTTTTTCCGTATCAGTGAGATGTAAAACGTCGAGATTTGTAAAAATCTCGATTTTTTTTTTTTGCACGATTACAATACTTTCTCTATACTTCGTATATACGAGAAAGTAAAAATGAGTCTATCTACAAATTCTAAAACCTAAGTAATAAATGTAAAGCTTAAAAAAAAGTGTATTTGGACCTGTTTTTATAAACATATTTACTTTATGACTATGTGATGAAAATTTTTATTTCTACAGAATAAAATAATGCAGAATTAAAAACTGAGCTATTAAATAAAAATTATTTTTAAAAAGTACAAAAGAAACAGCCAAACTTACTGCCAATGCCCAAAACTGGCATAACAACAGATTTAATTCCTTGTTCTGCAATTTGTTTCAAGCATTCTTTCAGTAAAGCTGCTACTTCATCAAAATCAAAGCCCGGTTTCGGCCAGACTATATGGAAAACTGTTTGCACATTTTTTAGGTTACCAGCAGATGTTTTAACTACATCAGATGAGCTACTCATTTTATTTTCTAGGTCACTTTTGATCTGCATTCCTCCTAAAAATTACAAAAAAAAAAAACAATTTAAATTATAATAACAAATTTTTTAGTGCTAAATTAAAAAATATTTTTTCTATTTCACCTAATTCTGATCATAAAACTAATAAAAGAGACATATTTCAAAACTACTAATTACCTTTACTGATAACAGTCTTCCCTAGTGCACCTAAACATTTGCCAGTGGAATCAACTCGACTGATAAGTGCATCAGCCTGGATTGAGAAAATATCCCCTTGCATAAACTCTATTTTGCAGTCATTAACAGGTAAATAGGCTATTTTTATGGCCAAGCTTATACTGTGTTGTTGAGATCTGTCTGAAGAATTATCATGAGTAGACTTTTTCTTAATCAAACACTTGTTCCCTTTTTCTATTTCTTTCAGAAATTGTTTTCCTTCTTCAGTACACAAAAATTCCCTGATGCCAAAATATTTTAGACGCGTGTTCTCTTGCTTGATACTTAAACTGTGGAATATTAAACAAAAAAAAAAAAACAATAGTTAAATAATGAATTGTACAACACTTGGAAATTAACTAATTTCTATTGATTTTGTAAGATCGTGAACCATTTTTAGTTCAAAATGGTAATGTAGAACAAGTGGGACCACAGACCTTCTAATGTAGAACAAGTGGGACCACAGTCCTATTAATGTAGAACAAGTGGGACCACAAATCTATACCATATAGTACAAGTGGGATGACAGACCTATAAAATGTAGTACAAGTGGGACCATAGGCCTGGTAATGTAGTAAAAAGGGACCATAGACCTACATTATGTAATAAACGTCCCCCCAAACACTAGCCAGAAAGTCTGAAGTTCAGATCTCGGTCAGGACTTGTGACTGTATAGCTCTGATGGATAGGCCTACTCACATTGTTGAAAGTAAAGACGGCTGGGCATAGTGTTGACCACACCATCAATTCATATGCCTAAGTCAAGAAACATGTGAACTCTACTTCATCTACCCTATAGATCCTTTGGTCTGAAAGGGGAACTTTTATGTTGTATAAGTGGGTCCATAAACCTTTATACAATTAGTGCAAACAATGCATTTTATGTGGACATAGTTTTTCTCTAAAATTTATTAAACTTTATAGTTTATAGATAAACTGCAGTATATCAAAACAAAAGATATTAGATTTAAAAAATTGTTAAAATTTGAACAAATCATAAAGCATATTTTGATATTTACAAAGACAAACAATGACCTTATTTGTGAAAGCAATTTTTCTCCTTTACTGACATCATCTTCAGCACCTTTCAAGACAAACTTTGTTGGTTCTTCTACCAGTGAAACACCTAATTCACCAATTTTGTTCTTTACATCATTCATCTTGTCTGACAAAAACCTCTTTATGAATTCCTGTTTTTCTTTAGAGCAAAGTATTTCAGCTTTGTGAACTTTATTTTCCCTGATAAATCTTTTGACAGCTTCAAGTTTGTTGTTGAATTGTTCTTGGACAGAAACAACAGTAATGCACTTCTTCTGTTTTGGAATAATGACCAGTGATGTTTCATCATTTAGTGTATCAAAGAATTCCTCAGCTTGTTTGGTTTGGATAAATATCAGAGTGTCTTCATCTATGTTTATTTCATTTTCAAGGATCTCCCCATTGATAAAATCAATGCACGCATATTGTTTGTTTACAGATTGAAAATAGTACAGGAAAACATTTTCTCTACCATCAATGAAACAGATGTGCCCTTTGTCCTTACATTTTTCATTGATGTAGTTTTGAACTTTGCTGCGTTTTAAGAACTCCACTTTTGACATGCTAATGTTGGTGTCATTCAGATTTTGCTTTTTTATATCCACACATTTTTGCAAGATTTCTACTTTTACTTTCTGTCGAAGACTTTTGTCACCACTTATAATTATTTGTTTTGTTTCTTTATCTGGAAACACCACAATGGGACTGTGTTTTTTATTTATTTCATCAAAGTAAGAAATTTGTTCCAGTAAATATATGTCCGCGTCCTTAGAGTCCAATTTATCTTCCATGTCACTGTTTCTCTTTCTTTGGATTTCACTTGTGTTTGAGAATTCTGTCAGTGTATCCGCTGTTGGCTCAAAAGTAGGATCAAAACATTTATTGTAAACCTCTTCAGTCAGACTAGGAAAGTAATGTTGTACTGTAAGAGTTTTATTCTCCAAGGAATGTCCTTGTTTGTCAACAATCTTGCAGGCAGCTAAAAATGATAGGTGAAACGGTTGTGAAAATTATGTGTGCACTTATTATCTATATATAACTATATAAAATTGAATGTATGCTTGTTTGTTTGTCTGTCTTGTATGCTTTATTACATCATTAATTGCCATGAAACTTTGGGAAGTTGTTGAGTAAAATGTTTAAATTTAAATATCCTCCAGGGCCCATAATGTTCCCCAAGGACCCTAATAATGTTTTGAATAAGGAAATAAAGTAAATAACTTTTTTATGAAATTGTATCACAGTTCATAGGGTGGAAGGGGGCAGGAGGGTATGGGGAAAAAGTGTGACATCATTTTAACTAGATTTGATGCATTCAACTTTTATTGTGATTTTCTTATAAATTACAGAATTGCATAGCTTTTAGTGCCTATACTGTAATGTCTATGGGATTATTATAATAAATTTCAAGTCTATAATTATTTGGACTGGGCACACATTTTGTAAAACAGCTGATTTTAAAAATCTATATCATAAATTTTAATTTATTTCTTATCACTGTCCTCTTTAGACCTAGTGATCCACTGGGCAAATGAAGTAGAGTTCATGTTTCTTGACCTCGGCTTATGAAGGGAAGGTGTGGTCAGCATTTTGCCCAGGAGCTTTTACTTTCCCTAACATGAATTAGGTACCCATCAGAGCTAACTGGACTCGAGGACATTCTACTGAACTTGAATCAGGATTCAAAATTGAGATTTTTGGGTTAGCAGCCCAGCGATCTACTGCTTAGGCCATGCCATCCCCTATACATTGGCATCTGTATATTAGATCCTCAATATTTTCACCTATGACATCACAGATTATTATTTGCTTGGGATGCAAACTAAACCGCTCATGCTCTTTATAAGTTTCCAAAATAAAATTTGAATAACATTTCCTTGTACTGATTTAATAAGTAGATTGATATAGACACACATACTTTACATTCCATCAGTTCTTTAAAAAACAACCTATATTTCTAAAATGTTTAATATAAAATTACAATCAATAAATATTGTAAAATATTACCTTCAAAAGATTTTAAAGTTATGATTGAAGAGTTTGGATTTTTTCTTTCCAAGTTTTCAATAATTCCAGAGCGTCCTCCACTACGACTGTTGTTAAAGTACCTTTTAAGTGAATCATCTGAAATCTTCTCATCAATTCCTTCAACTAAGATCATCCTGCTCTTCTGTACTGGAGCACAGATGAGGTACTGATCCATAAAGTCACCAGCACATTTCCATGTCATTGCTGGGATGTTTTCTGTTAAAAATAACAACAAAGCAATATATAATTAATAATAGCAGTTTTCATAATAATAAAAAAGTGAGCGTATAAATAATACATTAAGTAATGACACTAAAGTGAATGTCTACTTTTGGTAATTATTAAATAACACATCTAAGTCAAGCTCATTAATTTAATAAATCCATTATAGTTTATTAAAAATTTGTATGCAAAATCATGTAGCAAAGGACTTAAGAAAAAAAAAAGAATTTACTCATTCATCTATATATGCCAGATGTTGAAGACCTACAAAATTCTATTATGCAGCTAAATATAAAAAATTGTGCTGATAGCATCACTGGAGATACAAATTTCTGGACAATTTTATTTCAGAGTAGATTGATTGTATGAAGCAGTAGCAAAACTTTATGAGCTACAGCTGATGAAGTATTAGCACGGTTTACTTTATTTCACATATTATCTTTAAGTAAATTTGGCCTAAATAATGAAAGTAAAAAATTTATTGCTGAAGAAAAAGATAATATAAACTAAATGTTAAGTGATAAAAAAATAAACTCAGAAAATCACCTCGGGGACAGCTGTCTGCAGAAAATTTTATAATAATTGATCTTTCTTCACTATACTGGAATGTGTTAACCACTTTAAGGCCAGTTTGTTTCCTGATGCGATGCTTTAGTTCACCCATGTCTGTAATAGGCTGTCTGCTATGGACTGAAATAAGGTTGCTGTAGATGTCTAAATCCTCTAGTGTGGCAATTGTAATGCCACTAAAATTGCTACTTCCATCATGTTGAATTTTTGTGAATTCTTTAGCATCTGAAATTTTGAAATAAGATTTTATAATCAAATTTTTTAGAAGAAAATAGTTGCATAATTTTAAAATTGGTTTACATGTTTAAAAAAACAGCAAGACTTTTGAAAAAGTTCCTTTTTTCTAAAGTGATTAACTAGCCTACATAATGTTATTAATGGCTTATCATTTACTATAATGGCTTGATGGCAATAACCATTTGTTTTGGTTATGCATGATTTGTGCACACTTTTAAAATTTGTTAATTTACCTTTACTGTTCTTGAATGTAACAAATAAAACTTTTCTCAACCCATCCAGCATCATAAGTCTGTTATAGTAAGGCCCAGCACCAGTTTCTTCATCTTCTAACAAAAGTTCATAAAAATCTTTAGATTTAGTTACATCTATGATTGAAATTTTCACAGTTCTTCTGACCATTTTAGTCAGATCTCCAGTCTCAGAAAACAGCTGTTTCTCTAGATCAGCTTCACTTCCTGGGTTACTAGTATCAGATATATCTTTGGTTAGTTTCTTGTCTCTCTTTGACTTGTTCTTAGAACCTTCTGCAGAGACTGGACTTTCTGTATCTGTTTTTTTCTGTTTAACTGCAGAAGATGGTGGCTGCTGTTTGGTGCGATTTCTTTTTTTATCTTTATCCTGGTCAATATCAGATGTTGAAGTATCTCGTGCAGAAGATGAATCACAGCTTTTTTTAACCTTGTTTTGTGGTGTATTGCCTGTATGTATCTGGCCAGAGCCTTTATCTTTGTTTTTTGGTGATTTAGAGAGTTCTGGATCTGTGGTTTTTGCTGTTTTTGAACGGTGCTGTTTGTTTGTTTTTGTTTCATCAGTACTCTGAACACTCTCTCCATCTGACGAACTGAAATCACTTTCAACATTTCTTTCATCAAAGTTTTTATCTAAAGTTGGTTTATGTCCAGAAACTTTTGCTTTGCTTTTCTCTAGTTTGGGGTTACTAGGGCTTACAGTTGTAGCTAGTTTTGATAAAGGCGGATGTTTTGCCTTGGTAGTTTCACCTCCATCCTCATCAGACAAAGATGATTCACTGCTTGTTGCCAAATTGATTTTGTCAGAACTATTCTTTGGTTTATCTGATTTCTTTGATAGGTTCCCTACACTGGCGCTGGTTTTATTTCCTTGTTCTTCCTTGATTCTTGGTTTGGACAAGGTTGACGTCTGCTTCTTCTGTGCCTGATGCTCATTAGTTTTACCTTGACCTTGACCACTATCACCACCAGAATCTGTGTCAGATGAGTCACTGCTGGTCTCTGATTCATCATTCTCTTCTACAGTTGATTTTTGGTCATTTTTTGCTGTTTGCAAATCTTGAGTCCCGGCTGCAGCTGTTTTTCTATTTTCATAATAAGGTTCAACCTGAACAACAACTTCGTCAATCTTGACTGTGCTTCCTCGTTGTAGAATTATTTTTACAGCTGTTGATCAGAAAAAAATATTTTAAATGTATTAAAAATCTTTTAACATCTATATTTCCTTTGACTAACATTTTTTTTACTCTTGTGGTTTCTTACAATATTGACAATTGTGTTCAAATATAGATTGGCTAACTTACAAAAACTTTAGTTTTGAAATAAACAATACTATATCACTAAATAAAAAGATCATTTCTTTATAATATTTAAAATATTAATAACTATTGTATTTTGGTAAATAACTATAACATTTTTAAATTTAAAAAAAAATCTCTTACATAATGATTATGCCTGTAATTAATGTTAAGTGACAATAACAGTTTTTTAGAACTTACAAATTACCAAAACAAGTCTTTATTCTATCAATTCAGGGAATGAACACATAATAAAGCATTTTATTTGTGATCTATGTAAAACAAAAAAAAATAATTTGATGTTGTGTATTTTTTTTGTGCATAAAAAAAATATTACAATATATACCTTCACTGTCTTGAAATATAATTTTAGCAGAAGAGTTTGAACTATCCAACTGAACATCATCAACAGGCCCACCTCCCTGGCCGCGCTTGTTCTTAAATAAAATCTTGAGTTTATCTGTTGTTATATCTGGTGGTAGCCTAGTGACTTTAAGAACTTTTGTATCATCAGCCATCTTACATTTGTCATATAATTAATTCTGAAATAAAATTTGAATCATCAGTAAATAGAATGCAGGATTTAAGCATAATGTGGTCTGTGGTGTGGCATATTAGCCAGCAATTAATGAGGGTGTTGTAGTAGAGGTTATAAAACAAACATTCAAATGCACTACATCACTTTTTGCATTGCATGATTATGACATTACTTTTGGATGCATGTAGGGGTGAGCTGTGAGATAAAAATAATTATTTTAAAATAAAATTTCTTGAGAATGCTCTTATCAATTTGTAAAATAAAAAAGTTTAAAATCCCATGGCATGGCATGCAACACAATACAATAGTCACATAATTACATTTAAAAATAAGTAATACATAGATTCTAGTAATACATAGATATAGATCTAGAGATCTACTAGTAATAGTTGACAACACACAACTAAAAGTAAAACTAAAAGTAATACTTATAAGGGTCAGTGGCGTAACGAGGTCGGGTGTCACCCGGTGCAGCACTTAATGGTGTGTCCCCCCAGAGGCGTAGCGACTATTCCCGAGGACAAACTTTCAATTTTCAATTTGCACCCCCCCCTTGAACTTTCTATTTGCAACCCCCCCCTCTAATTTTTCTCTATAATGTCTATATATTTTACTATTTTTTGCCTTAGTGTCACCCCCCTAAATGGTGTCACCTGGTGGGGTCCGCACCCCCCGCCCCCTCTCTACGCCTCTGCTTAGGGTATTTATTAGATCTAGTAAATCTAGACGTCTAGGCCTAAATAAATATTGTAAATATTATAATTAATAATTATAGTTCTATATCTAGGCCTATTATAGGCCTTAGATCTACATCTAGATCTTGTCTAGATCTAGTCAATTCTAGTCTAACTAAAGTTACACTAAAGTACTAATAATACTTAAGTCTAACAAAATGAAAATACTAGATCTAGAATCTAGATCTAGAATCTAGATCTAGATCTAGATTCTAGATCTACTGGTCCACTACTACTGGATTCTAATTAAATGGTGTAGGCCCTAATTGATAATTCTAGACCTAGAATCTAGATCTAGAAAGAATCTAGGCCTACTAGTCTAGATTCTAGATCTAGATTCTAGACTCTAGAGATCTAGAATCGTATAGATTCTAGTTAGTAAGTATAGTATAGATAGTTACGTATATATAGTAGTAGTATAATAATAATCATAATGAAGTATAATTTAGTATAATATTTTAATGTGCATATTTAATTATTATTTAATGTGCATCTTTATTCTAAAGTTAATTAATACTAGACTACTAACTACTACAGTACTAGTACTAGACTTAGGACTAGATCTAGAATCTAAGTAAGTATTTTAAAAAAGAGTTTTAGAGTAGGCTAGCCTGCAGTGCAGATTCTTAGAATAGTGACTGTTGTGTATTGCAGAGTGTAGATCCAGGATTGTGGAAATGATAAGTCAAAGTGTCAAGTGAGATTATTTTATTTTTAGACTTTTCGGAAATGAAACAAAAATTTAGGCCTAATATTTTTAATTCATGATAAGTTCCAAATGAAGATCTGTGGTCGTCACTGCATTAGATTTATATCTAGACTCTAGATCTAGATCTAGCATCCACATCTAGCCTAGAATCTGGATTCTAGAATAACTTACCTTAAGTTACAGACAGTGTCTTACAGTCCCCCTACTAAACTAGCCTATGCAGTCCTGATCAATTTGCGGTTGTTCTCAGCTACCAAAATAGTTCAACAAAATCCCGGTAAGTATAAATAGCTAATGTGAAATTCCCAATTTATTTCTTGGAAAACAAAACTAGCACCCCGTAAAACACACTGGGAAAATTTTTCATGAAATTAAGAAGTAGGTAGGTAGACTATGTCTCTCTAAACTCTAATAATGAGGTTTTTCAGTTAAAAATTTAATTACCTACTTCATAATTGACAAATAAATATTAAAAAGAATTAGATCTAGATCTAGACCTAGTTAAAGTAGTTAAGTAGGCCTAGTCTATATTTATATTGTATAATTTTGAAAGTAGATGAGTGGTAGAGTATAACTATAAACTAAAGTTTATACTCTACTTTCACATAAACAGTGTAAAAGTAAGTAGATTTCTAGCTAGATTAAGATCTTTCTTCTTTATTTATGTTATCATGTTAAAGTAGATCTAGTGTTAAAGACTTTAAGACATTAAACTATGTGTATGATGATGTTTTTAGTAGTAAGTAGTTACTAAGTAGTAAGTATATTATATAGATCAAGATCTAGAATGTACTAAAGGTACTGTCTAAGTACTACTATATTATAATACTATTATAAGCCTAGGATTCATAAATTCATACAACTTTCATAGATACTTTCCTTTGATCTGTAATTATCCTTTATTGTTTAATATTATTAGGTACTTGTCTGTCTATATGTATATATATATGTGTGTCTATCAAGCAATTATAAACAGTCTCTCGCTAGATCTATATATAATAAGCCTGGGGCCATCCATAAATGACGTCACGCTTTTTTTGACGATTTTTACCTTACCCCCCCCCCCCTCCCCTCCGTCACACGTCGTCACAAAAAGCCATATCCCCCTAAAATGACGTCACACCTCAACCTACAACCCCCCTCAAAATTGCAGTTGAATTTTTTTAAAACATTGATATTTTTCTAAAATCTTGTCTAAACTATTACAATTTATTAAAACAGTTATCTAAAATGCGAAATAACGTCTAAAATTCGTTTTCTAACATTGCTTTTTTATAATGCAAAAATGTGACGTCGCAACATCTGAACCCCCTCCCCCTACCCCTCATCAAACATCATCACAAAATTACGGACCCCCCTCCCCCCTACGAGTGTGACGTCATTTATGGATGACCCCTATGTAAGGCAAGGCCAAGGTACCAAAAATGGAGCCCATAGACCTATCTAAATAAATATTTAGTTCATAGGAATATAACCTATAACATACCTAATTCTTAATATAATGTAGGCATTGTCTAATAAAGCCTATGTTTTTTTTTGTGAATATGAAGACTGAAGACAAGGATCTAAAGGATGAAGGAGTACATTGTGTTGCAGGTAAATTAATTGCACTAGTAGTTAGGCCCTAAATGCATTAGTAAATAATTAGTAATTAGTGATTGTCCTTAAATGACATTCATTACATCCAGCATTCGCTACCACAAATTATCTTGCCCCTTGCTTTTTTGTTACTGGTTTTATGGACAAAAGTTTACTTAAGGAGCCAATATTTGTTCTAGATCTAGTGCAGTTTAAAAATTTTAATACTTTTAAGCCTATATTAGGTGAATTTTTTACAATGTTTGATTACATAGATTATCATTCTTAATTTTTAACTTTTCCTCCACTTATCATTGATTAATCAGTATAAGCAACTCGATAAATGCCTACTTTTAAAAAAATACAATATAGACTAAGAATTTGAAAGTTATAAATGATTTTATTTTTTTTTTAAATAATCTACCTATGCTATAAGAACCTAAACATTGGTATAGGTAAAAATATTAGGCCTTTATTTTCAGAATATTCCAAGTGGATACTCAGATCAGTTGGTTAAAGATTATGTAGAAGCAAATCTGGACATAGATGTAGATACAGTCTCTGTCATATCAGACTTAGCATGGGTCATGTTGAAAAGAAAAATCAAAGGTGAAGTACAAGTATCATATAGGAGTGTTAAATGCTCTGACTTGATGATTTATGCTTAAATTATGCTAATAAATCAGAAGAAGCACTGTGTATATGTGTGTGTGTGTGTGTGTGTGCTTTAGAAGGTGTCATCTTTTGCTTAAAAGATGAAGGCTATGTAAATTTAAAGCTATATTCTTTTAAAATTAGGATCCTTGAGACTGTAAGAGTGCAATTAATTCTATTACCATTAAATGATGCTAAATGATTAGTTAACATTAGCTAAATGTATCTTGAGAATGTTGCAGATTAGTGAAAGAAAGATCTTAATTTTCTATTAAAAATAAGTGCTTTGATCATTTATGTTTAGAATGCTAGGGATTATCTGAAAAGGCTGGGAAGAAAAATGTAGTATTCATTTATTTCTTTTCTCTAGACCATCAAGAAGCACAGCGTGTTGTGTCTACAGAGCCCATAGAGTCTCATCAGATAAGGCTGCATTTTTCTCAGGTTGTGACAACAGCCATTGTTGTATCCAACACAGACAAAGAGAAAGCTTCACAAGAACAGATTAAGAAGTTTTTGGAAAACAAGTTTAATGTAGAAGTCTTGAAAATCCAAATCTGGCGAGATAAAAAGATTGCATTTGTCCATTTTGAAGAGGGATCAGAAAAAGGTGAACATTAAGTATTTCTCTCTTCATTTAGAAATTATATAGGCTATATATATATATATATATATATATATATATATATATATATATATATATATATATATATATATATATATATACACACACACATATATATATATATATATATATATATATATATATATATATATATATATATATATATATATATATTTATATATGCATGTGTTTTTCTGAGTAAATTAAAATGATCTAAATATTATTGCTGATGTGAATTGTATGTAATTCTATTCCGCAAAATAGATATTACTAAAGAGGAAATGTGTTCAAAATTAAATTAAATTAAGCATCTCAATGTTCTTTGTTTTTTTCCATAACTTATTAACTAATGTACATCTCTCTGTCTTTCGCCTGTAATTAAGTCTTTGTTGTATCTTTAATATATTTAAAAGAGACTCATAATCAAAATATGTATATATTTGTTTTTATTAGAACAAATTTTTCACTGTTTACTTTAACTAAATGTTAACTTTTTATATCTATTTACAGCTGTTAAAAAGATGATTAAAAAACATGATCTTGTTATGCTAAAAGAAAAGAACTACCACATTTTTGTAGAACCATACTTTCAACATTTCCATGATGTTTTAGAATCAAAGTTTAAGATGGATTCTGGGACTAAAGTGACACTGAAAGCTAATCAGAAGGATCAGGATGAAAGCAGTGAATCCTCAAGTGAAGATACGGATGAAACTGATACATCTTCAGATGATGCTAGTGAGAACTACTCTTCCAATGAAAAGAAAAGTGTTAAGAAAAAAGAAAGTAAACCAGCATTGCAGAACTCAGATGATGAGTCAGACTCTGATGATGAACAAGTCAACAGTTTCAAGTTAAGAAAATCAGAAAATTTAAGCCAGAAAGAAAAGATTAAAAGAAAAGTAGAGAGTAGTGATGATAGTGACGATGAAGATAAACATTTAGATTTAAATGGAAGAAAATTAAGGAAATCAGAAAATTTAAGCCAGAAAGAAAAGATTAAAAGAAAAGTAGAGAGTAGTGATGATAGTGGCGATGAAAATAAACATTTAGATTTAAATGGAAGAAAGTTAAGAAAATCAGAAAATCTAAGTCATAATAAAAAGATAAAAACCATAGAGTCTAGTGATGATAGTGAAGATGAAGATAAACATTTAGAAGAGGATGATACAGAAAGTGATGACAGTAAATTTTCTGATAGGGATTCTAGTACAGAAAGTGAAACAGATGAGAAGCAAGCCTGTGAACCATTACCTGTTCACAAAGCTAAACGTTCCTATAACCATTATGATAGTTCAAGACAAAGTCAAGACCCAGATAATAAGAAAATTAGAAATCTTAAAAAAGAAAATATGACATTAAAATTAAAAATAAATGAACTAGAAAATACTGTTCAATGTTTATCAAATAAAATAAAAGAGTTAGAAGATTCAAAGCCCTATAAAAAAACACAGGAAATGAAGAAGCATGAATATGAACAGTTAGTTGATTTTTTTGGAGTTATTGATGGTGTTTGCGTTAGTTATAACAAGGAAAAGAAACTAGCCACATTAAAAGGCAAAGAAAATGAAGTCAATTTTCATCTATGTAAAATGCTGACGAAATTAACACAATTAGAAATTGAAAAGTTAGAAATTTCTCCAACAATGTTTTCAATTCTTTCTACAGAAAAGGGTGAGAAATTTCTAAAAGATTTTATGGACAGTAACTCCCAAGGAAAAAGAGTAACTTTTACAATAGATGACAAATGTATTTATCTTGCTGCAACAGATGACACATCTCTAAACAGTGTTAAAGATAAACTGCAGAGGAAACTAAATTATAAGGACATTACATTGTCAAATACTCCTGTTTCCGAAGGAAATCTTTACTTGTTAAAACATAATTTAGAAAAGAATTGGCTACTTTGTTTATCCTGGAAAGAAGATTTGAAAGAAATCTATACAGAGGGCATAGAAGATGATGTCATCTATTCCCAGAGAGACATAAATGAATTGATTGGTTCACATTTGATACATGAAAAAGTTTACACAGTGAATGATTTAAGGGCACAATTTATACAAAAACACCTGCAGCCAAAGGTAACATCAATTGTAAGTAAAGTGGAGTGCGAAACAAAAGATTATAAAACCTATACATTTAAAGGAGATAATAATTCAGTCCGTATTGTATATGGTGCTTTCAGGGATATTGTTGAAAATATTGTCACACAGACATGGGATCTCAGAAAGGTTTATTTAAATAGTGATATGGATCTTTGGCTTCTCTTTAATGGTTTGAATGAAGATATGGTCAAAGAAAAAATAGACCAAATTGAAATAAAAGAAAAGTGCCTTATTAGAATAAATCTTCCTGTTACAAATACTTTTACAAGAAATGTGGATAGTGCCAAAGCTAAGGCAAATAGTACCAGCACTAAAGCTATAAAAAAGAGTGGCCAAGTAAACATTAAGATAGGAAACATTGTGGAAGAAAGCTCAGATATCCTAGTATGTGTGTTAGACAACCATATCAAGCTATCAAGAACAGGTATAGGGAAAGCCTTTCTGAAGGCTTGTCCTGCATTGAAGGACAAACTAGAAACTACTAAACAACAAAATCCAAAGTCTACAGTCATTACAACAATGGGACCATTTGCAGCTGGTTTAACATGTAAAGCTGTTTGTAGCATTGTCGTCACTAGATGGGATAAAAGCCACTCAAAACATGAACTTAAAGAATGGGTGAATACAATTATGAAAAAGGCAATGGAAATAGGTGCCAAGTCCATTTCCTTCCCACCCATTGGCTGTGGTAAAGCGTTTAAATTTCCGATCACTAAATTAAGCAAGACAATGCTGGAAACAGTCAATACATTTTTGACATCCAACCCTGGAGCGCTTAAAGTAAATATTGTAGCTGAAAAGAAAGATGATTTTGATGTTTTGAACCAAACTGCTGAGCTCTATGCAAAACCATCAACTGATGTTGTAGAAAATAATGTAGATAACACTAATGATGAAGAGGAGAATAAAGTGCAATTAGTCAGAAGAGTTAAATTTGAGTTATCCATAACAGCTGAAAAAGAAACAGACAAGAATGTCATTTTTACAAAACTGTCTGAATATTTTAACAACCAGTGTTTACATACAGCTGAAGTGAAGGATAATACACTACCTGTCTGGCCAAGTACATTACAAAAGAGAATAGAAGAAAAGGCTGAAAATTCTTCAGTGCATGTTAGTTTTTCATCAGATGAAAATGAAATAAAATGTTGCCTGAAAGGCTTCAAGCAAAATGTTGAAGTTCTAGAAAAGTTTGCAATGAATGAAATTCATGAGGTAGTTAAAAACTTTCCAAGGAAATCAATTAAAGCAAGTAATACACCTGCAAGGGGTACAGTTGAATTTATCAAATACGCTTCTAAAATAAATGAAACCTGCCCAACCTATTGGAAGGTGTACTCAGACAAAAGATATTGGAAGAATGTTGTTGACAGAAATGAAGAAAGACCAGCTAGTGGACAAAGTAAAACATTCCTGATATCAGTGGATGATAAAACAAAGAAGGCTGTAATAGATTTAGTTCAGAAAACTTGGGAACCAGCTTTAGTTGGAGCTGGAGCAGATGCTAGAGGTCTGGTACCCAACACAACTATTGAAGTCTTAGATGTGCAAAGAGTTGAGAATATACATCTGTTTGATCGCTATGCTAATGAACGCAAAATGCTCTTTCAGAAAATGGTTGAAAATGATAAACCTTGTGATGATTTTGGTATTACTTTACCTAGCAAGCAGCTAAAGACAACTGAGTTTTTGGAAAGTTTTATGAAGGAAGAATTGTATTCAGAGATCAATGAACATTATTTATTTCATGGAACTAAATCTAATCTGATTGTACCTTTAACCAAACAAGGCCTTGACCCTAAACTTTGCACAAATGGAATGTTAGGTAAAGGTGTGTATTTGGCTGAAAAATCTACCAAATCTGATCAATACACAGATCCAAAGCCAAAAGGTAAGTAGAACTAAGGCTGATTTTTTTTTCTTCAGAGTATCATAACCTGTGATGATTCCCAACCAATAGTTCATGACTGCACCCCTTCCCCCACATTGGGCATTTAATCAGGTTGCTATTAATAAATTTGATCCTAGTTTAGAAGCGGTTTCCGAGATCACAATGTCAAGCCATTTCTGGTTAAGTACACATTTTAATGTAGTGATTTGTTTCTAATGGTACTAAAAGACAGAGGTGTTGTGAGGGGGGGGGGGGGGGGGCGCAAGGTTGCGGACCACACCAGGTGACACCATTTAGTGGGGTGACACCAAGCCAAAAAAAGCAAAATATATATATAGAAAAATAGTTAAATAAATGATTAATTAGAGTTAAATGTGTTTTTATTAAAAGCTTAATTGACAAATCCCAACAAGGATGGGGGAGGAGGGGCTGACACCATGATGTAAACCTGCTAATGTTATAGAAAACTATACTACATCCAACTGTATTTATAACCCACTATAGATAAACATTGTTAGTATTATCTGTGCACAGTTTAAAGCTATCACTGGCTGGAGGAGGGGGGGGGGGGGGTGTGAAACCCACTAAATGTTGTAAAATTTGCCTGAAGAAAAATGTTTTCTTGACAATTGTAATAACTGACATGTCAATCCAAGTCTGACGTGGGGTGGGAAAGGGGTGTGTAAAAATATGTATATGTATATATACACTCATATATATAGGCCCATACATAGTTTTTTTGCAGGGGGGAGGGGGCACACCATTAGATGCCTCACCTGGTAACACCCGACCTAGCGACGTCACTGCTAAAGGAATAACTAATTTTTAGTTTAATTAGACATTAAATGAATTATCAAAAAGGAATTTAATTATTTCAATATTCTGTAACAACATGAGAGAAAACAGTTCATTTTAAAGCTTGTTGTAAAAAGGTTTTCATATTTAGATTGTGTTTTATGTGATATTATTTTTCTGAAATATAAAATAAATTAAAAAATATAATTGAAGTTGGTAAAATATGAGTAGTTTACTGTAGTCAATTCAAAGTTTGAAAACAACCCCACACATGAAACAACAGCATAATTAATAGCCAGTTTTTTCCACTCCAAAAAAATAGATTTTTTTTCATTGACGAAAAAAACAACAACAGTGACTTTATTTAGTTAAAGCTATGAATATTAAAAAAAAAATCTTTAAGCCTATATGTATGATGAGAGGTTGGGTTCTTTTTCAGACATCTTTAAGAATTTTTTTTTTTTAAAAGTTGATAATAAAAACTTTGAGAAAATAAAATTGTTATCTGTAACTTAGCAACAGTACCTTATCTTTGAATGTATTTAACGGGCGAATTCGTACCTCAGTTTTGATGTACATATCACATGTATGAGTCATATTCTGTGATATTGTTTGTAGGTTTGTCACACCTTATTTCAAGTTAATTTTATAAACATGTTTCAGCATTTACTTTTTGTGAACTACTAAATATAGTCATGAACTACAAAGATGGCTGGTTTTAAAGTTCATATTCTACCTTAGCTATAAGAGATTGTTGTTAAAATATGATAATTCTTCATTTGCAGAAGCAGATCAGAAACGTAGTGCTCCAGGGACAAAGCTTTATCTGTTCCTCTTAAGATCATTGCTAGGCAACACTTATGTAGTTCAAAGAGACCACCCAAAAGTTGGTGGTAAGGGTAAGTTTAATTTCTTCTTCACTCCAGAAGGGGAATGGTTGACTGGAGGTGTCATTGTTGATTGGAGGTGACAAATAAGTTATGCATTGGAACCTGATGGTCAATATGGTAGATGAAGTAATTCACCTGCTTCTAAGACCATAGCATTTAAAGGAATTTTTTGGTTGATTCTATGCCCAGATGCTTTTACTTTCCCTAAAGTGAGTCAGGTACCATCAGAGCCTGGTGGATTTAGAACTTCCTGTGAACTTAAGTCCAGTATCCGAGCTTGAGTCGTTTTTAGGTTCATCATTTAATTCCGAAGAATTAAAAATTTTGAAATTCACTTTTTTATTTTGCAGAAGCAAGATTTGTTCGCCCTCCATGTTTGAATTGTAAGGATGATAAATGCAGTAAAGGTCATGAGTCTTATGATTCCATCACACTGGATGGTGGAAACTCCCCAAATTCACTATACAGAGAGTTTGTTGTATACTCTGATAGGTGCTGCTATCCCGAATATTTAATTACATACAAAAGAGTGCCACCTAAGTGAGGACTCATTTGAAAACCATTCACAAGTGGATGGAAAATGTTTGAAACTTTTGTTTTATTTACATAAATTCTAATGTTAAAACCAAAGATTTCACATATTAATGTAGATCTAGTTTCTTTCTAATAAATCAATTACTATTGAAAATTTCTTTTCATCCTACCAATTGCTCAATGTTATTTAAACAGGAAGATAAATCATATTTATTCTAAGCTCTGTATATTAATTAAAATTAAGTATAATGTTATTTATCCTTCTCAATGAATTTTTATTTCAAATGGCAAAGATGAAAAGTTTTTGTGATGAGGTTGTTTATTTTTAAAAAATATTTTGTGAACTTTACTAATACAACTATGTAAACAACACAAAATATGTTGTAATAGTAACAATAACTATGTGCAATAAAACATTATCATATATATATATTTATTTTATGTTTCTTTCTTCTTCACAATTAGTTGAGAAATATTTATGATTGTGTAGTCTTTCATTACTGTTAATAATTAGACTCTAAACATACATATCAGTCCATCTAAAAATATGCATTGATAATAAACACCCCATTTCCTTTTGCAATAAAGAGTGTTCATACATTTTGCATTGATCTTAGTTGATGTGTAAAATGTTTAGTATGTTTCACACAGCCGCAGAGAAATAGAACAAGTTAAAGAATACATAGACGTTTAAAAGCGCTTTCGTGAGTTTTTAGAGTTGTTTGTTTACATTTGTTTATATAATTTAACTTGAAGATAAACAGGCTAAAACTCATATAAAGGCAATTTTAAGAAAACTCTTCGAAAAAAATAGGCTTTATTAGTTGTAAAAAACGCGTTGATAAATCTTGAGTTTCGTTATTTTCTAATTCTGACCATTGGTGTGTACTATTTTGCCCAATCATCCAACGAAGGCCACACTCACACAACTCTGGATTGAGCAAAATGTAGATCATAATTAGGCCTGTAAGTATAAGTTGATGCTGAAATATGTACGTCTTAACTTCATTCATTGGCGAAAAAACTTAAAACACTCCCTTTTTTAAGTGAACACATTACCAATAGTAAAAAAGTTGATACTTTAAAAACTAAGCTGTATGCGAAATTTCAATATTCAGACTATATGTGACTATGTAAGGGGAGGGAACCGAATTGATGGTTGTCGTTATTGTTATGTGTTTTTCGCTTCATCTGTGCATAGCTACTCGTTGAAATAAAACCTGAGCAAACCAAAAAAATAACTAAAAATAAAACTTGTTCACAATCAGTTCAATACAGTAATTTGACGCCACAATTTTTTACATGTTTAAAAAGTAGGCTGACCTTAATTGGAGCTTAAGCGAAAATAACAAAATTAAGAAATTAGACATTGTCCAACCAATTCTTTGAAATTATACTACAGACCGAAAGACAAACAAATAAAACATTTCGACTGAGATATTCATTAAGACATATCACATTTAGGGGTCGTCCATAAATGACGTCACACTCGTAGGGGTGAGGGGGGTCCTGTGTGTGATGAGGGGAGGGGGGGTTCAGATGGTGTGACTCAGAGGCGTAGCGACCCTTCCCGGCGCCCGGAGACTAACTTTTCGATTTGCATCCCCCCTCATGATTTTGATTTGCAACCCTCCCCCTCAAACTTTCGATTTGCACCCCCCCCCCCCCTCAAGATTTCGATTTGCACCCCCCTCGACCATTCAATTTATTTTTCCAACCCATTATGGCGCCCCCTAAGGTCGACGCCCGGGGACATATGTTCCCCCGCCCGCCCCCCCCCCCTTGCTACGCTACTATAAAAAAAGCAATGTTAGAAAACAAGTTTTAGCCGTTATTTCGCGTTTTAGAAAACGGTTTTTAATAAATTGTAATAGGAATTGATCAAAATACTCTATGTTGACAGAGCTTTCACAAGATTTCAACAACAATTTTGAGGGGGGGGGGGAATAAGATTTCAGACCAACATGAGGAACAAGAAGTCAGGCCACCGGAATAAGACGTCAGACCAACATGAGGAACTAGAAATCAGGCCACAGGAATAAGACGTCAGACCAACATGAGGAACTAGAAGTCAGGCCACAGGAATAAGACGTCAGACCAACATGAGGAACTAGAAGTCAGGCCACAGGAATAAGACGTCAGACCAACATGAGGAACTAGAAGTCAGGCCACAGGAATAAGACGTCAGACCAACATGAGGAACTAGAAGTCAGGCCACAGGAATAAGACGTCAGACCAACATGAGGAACTAGAAGTCAGGCCACAGGAATAAGACGTCAGACCAACATGAGGAACTAGAAGTCAGGCCACAGGAATAAGACGTCAGACCAACATGAGAAACTAGAAGTCAGTCCACAGGAATAAGACGTCAGACCAACATGAGGAACTAGAAGTCAGGCCACAGGAATAAGACGTCAGACCAACATGAGGAACTAGAAGTCAGGCCACAGGAATAAGACGTCAGACCAACATGAGGAACTAGAAGTCAGGCCACAGGAATAAGACGTTAGACCAACATGAGGAACTAGAAGTCAGGCCACAGGAATAAGACGTCAAACCAACATGAGGAACTGTGGCCACAGGAATAAGACGTCATACCAACATGAGGAACTAGAAGTCAGGCCACAGGAATAAGACGTCAGACCAACATGAGGAACTAGAAGTCAGGCCACAGGAATAAGACGTCAGACCAACATGAGGAACTGTGGCCACAGGAATAAGACGTCATACCAACATGAGGAACTAGAAGTCAGGCCACAGGAATAAGACGTCAGACCAACATGAGGAACTAGAAGTCAGGCCACAGGAATAAGACGTCAAACCAACATGAGGAACTAGAAGTCAGACCACAGGAATAAGACGTCAGACCAACATGAGAAACTAGAAGTCAGGCCACAGGAATAAGACGTCAAACCAACATGAGGAACTAGAAGTCAGACCACAGGAATAAGACGTCAGATCAACATGAGGAACTAGAAGTCAGGCCACAGGAATAAGATGTTAGACCAACATGAGGAACTAGAAGTCAGGCCACAGGAATAAGACGTCAGACCAACATGAGGAACTAGAAGTCAGGCCACAGGAATAAGACGTCAGACCAAGATGATGAACTAGAAGCCAGGCCACAGGAATAAGACGTCAGACCAACATGAGGAACTAGAAGTCAGGCCACAGGAATAAGACGTCAAACCAACATGAGGAACTAGAAGTCAGACCACAGGAATAAGACGTCAGACCAACATGAGGAACTAGAAGTCAGGCCACAGGAATAAGACGTCAAACCAACATGAGGAACTAGAAGTCAGACCACAGGAATAAGACGTCAGATCAACATGAGGAACTAGAAGTCAGGCCACAGGAATAAGACGTTAGACCAACATGAGGAACTAGAAGTCAGGCCACAGGAATAAGACGTCAGACCAACATGAGGAACTAGAAGTCAGGCCACAGGAATAAGACGTCAGACCAAGATGATGAACTAGAAGCCAGGCCACAGGAATAAGACGTCAGACCAACATGAGGAACTAGAAGTCAGGCCACAGGAATAAGACGTCAGACTAACATGAGGAACTAGAAGTCAGGCCACAGGAATAAGACGTCAGACCAACATGAGGAACTAGAAGTCAGGCCACAGGAATAAGACGTCAGACCAACATGAGAAACTAGAAGTCAGTCCACAGGAATAAGACGTCAGACCAACATGAGGAACTAGAAGTCAGGCCACAGGAATAAGACGTCAGACCAACATGAGGAACTAGAAGTCAGGCCACAGGAATAAGACGTCAGACCAACATGAGGAACTAGAAGTCAGGCCACAGGAATAAGACGTTAGACCAACATGAGGAACTAGAAGTCAGGCCACAGGAATAAGACGTCAAACCAACATGAGGAACTGTGGCCACAGGAATAAGACGTCATACCAACATGAGGAACTAGAAGTCAGGCCACAGGAATAAGACGTCAGACCAACATGAGGAACTAGAAGTCAGGCCACAGGAATAAGACGTCACACCAACATGAGGAACTGTGGCCACAGGAATAAGACGTCATACCAACATGAGGAACTAGAAGTCAGGCCACAGGAATAAGACGTCAGACCAACATGAGGAACTAGAAGTCAGGCCACAGGAATAAGACGTCAAACCAACATGAGGAACTAGAAGTCAGACCACAGGAATAAGACGTCAGACCAACATGAGAAACTAGAAGTCAGGCCACAGGAATAAGACGTCAAACCAACATGAGGAACTAGAAGTCAGACCACAGGAATAAGACGTCAGATCAACATGAGGAACTAGAAGTCAGGCCACAGGAATAAGACGTTAGACCAACATGAGGAACTAGAAGTCAGGCCACAGGAATAAGACGTCAGACCAACATGAGGAACTAGAAGTCAGGCCACAGGAATAAGACGTCAGACCAAGATGATGAACTAGAAGCCAGGCCACAGGAATAAGACGTCAGACCAACATGAGGAACTAGAAGTCAGGCCACAGGAATAAGACGTCAGACCAACATGAGGAACTAGAAGTCAGGCCACAGGAATAAGACGTCAGACCAACATGAGGAACTAGAAGTCAGGCCACAGGAATAAGACGTCAGACCAACATGAGGAACTAGAAGTCAGGCCACAGGAATAAGACGTCAGACCAACATGAGGAACTAGAAGTCAGGCCACAGGAATAAGACGTCAGACCAACATGAGGAACTAGAAGTCAGGCCACAGGAATAAGACGTCAGACCAACATTTGGAACTAGAAGTCAGGCCACAGGAATAAGACGTCAGACCAACATGAGGAACTAGAAGTCAGGCCACAGGAATAAGACGTCAGACCAACATGAGGAACTGTGGCCACAGGAATAAGACGTCAGACCAACATGAGGAACTAGAAGTCAGGCCACAGGAATAAGACGTCAGACCAACATGAGGAACTAGAAGTCAGGCCACAGGAATAAGACGTTAGACCAACATGAGGAACTAGAAGTCAGGCCACAGGAATAAGACGTCAGACCAACATGAGGAACTAGAAGTCAGGCCACAGGAATAAAACGTCAGACCAACATGAGGAACTAGAAGTCAGGCCACAGGAATAAGACGTCAGACCAACATGAGGAACTAGAAGTCAGGCCACAGGAATAAGACGTCAGACCAACATGAGGAACTAGAAGTCAGGCCACAGGAATAAGACGTCAGACCAACATGAGGAACTAGAAGTCAGGCCACAGGAATAAGACGTCAGACCAACATGAGGAACTAGAAGTCAGGCCACAGGAATAAGACGTTAGACCAACATGAGGAACTAGAAGTCAGGCCACAGGAA